GCTTGACTAGAATTTGGCAAGATAGCAAAAATGCAAGCATTAGATTTATGGTTTGTAAGACACAAAATGGCACCCCGTGGGTTCTCTTGGTTTGCCTGCCTTTGCTGTTTTTCAGTTTGTGCACCTTGTCACACACACCCAAGACTGTGGTCCTGTCTCATTTCTCCTGGGCTACTGCAAAAGGATTTGCCTCATAGCCTGAGGTCCTCTGAGCCATTATGAGCTTGATGTTGGCTGCACACCTCAGAATCCTGTTTGAACAGTGGTGTCAGCAGAGATGTGCGAGGGGGATGACCACTGCCCTCACTTCCTCAGCAGCTCATGGCTTGCAGCTGCCAGGAACTTCAAAAAGCAGGAATGAAAGCCCAGTTGGAACTGGTAAGCTCAACTTCAAGCACCTCAGTTTTACTAAGGGGTGAAATGATGAACCTTGCTGTAGGTGACTACCTAGTAAGTCTCAGACTATGGAATGCCATAAGATTTTAATTGTACCCAGCAGGGACTGATCTGCTTCAAATTTGCTACCTGACTTTGAAGTGACACCAAATACACAATAAATAATCAATAGGTTCCCTAAATCCTTATTCTTGGAAATAAAGCATCTGAGAATGGACCAGATGGAGAGGTCAGACAGTAAGAGAATCGTAGTCATCCTCTCAAGCCAGAAAACCCTCATGAAGCAAGTCTGGCTTTTCAATACACTTGGTATGACCACAGAAATGTTGCACTGAACCTCTGCCCTTTGGTAAAGCAGAGACAGAGAAAACAAAGCAAATTTGTCCAGGCAAAAATGTGGTTTTGAGAAAGCAGGTTGGTGGTACCTGCCTTGTTGGCAATGGCAAACTACACACTGGATTTCTGGAGCTGATGGCAGTGAAATGTTAATACTGATGTGAGAGCAAAAGAAAAGCAGGCCTGAAGCAGGTAATGCTTTCCCTATTCCATGCTACACAAAGTTCTATTCCTGGGATTGTGTCCCTATATGTGCTCAGGCTCATCCTATGCTTGCGATCCCACAGCTACCTTGGACATCAATGAGATGACAGCTTGAATCCCACTGTTGGACCAGAGTCTTCCTTCCAAATCAGGTTCTTCTGGCAGCGGCTTCAGGAGCTGTTTTCAGCTTAGCAAGGCATCAGGTGATGTGTATTTATTTACAAGGAGAAATCTAAACCACGACTTTCTGCTGTTTCTAACATTACTTTCAAAAAGTGGCACATTAACTTTGCATCTCAATTTCAAGCTGCAGAGATTCCCAGAGTGCCAAACCCCTTCCTGGAACACTGAGGTCTCTCTGGCATGAACCACGAACAACAGATTGGGCAGGTCCTGCAGCATGACAAGGCAACGCTCAACAATGTACAGGAGCACACAAAGAAACTGCATGGAAAATTAACAGGGGTGGAAACACACAGGAAAAGGGGAACCAAAGAGTGGTGTTCAGTCAGACTTTTATCAGTCCACAGCTTCACACAGAAGGTATCAAAGTGGTTCTGGAGACTCACAGGTACCTTCCAAATTTTCACTAAACTAAAACCTAATGAGTTAGCTAATACTTCAGAGAATCGTAGAATGGTTTGGGTTGGAAAGGACCTTAAAGATCACCCAGTTCCAACTCCCCATGCCATAGGCAGGGACACCTTCCACTTAGACCAGGTTGCTCAGAGCTCCATCCAACCTGGCCTTGAACATTTGTAGGGATGGGAAATACACAGCTTCTTTAGGCAACCTGTGCCAGGGCCTCACCACGCTCACAATAAAGAATTCCTTTCCAGTATCTAATTTAAACCCACGGCATATCCCAGCATTGGAGGTACCACGTTTGTCTGAAACAGTCTCTCTCGTTTCATACGAGTCATCAGGCATCACTGTCAGTCCCAAAATTGTCATGTGACTGTTTGCAGGCACCTTCAGTGTGCATGCTCAAGCTTTTCTTGTTGTTACAATTAAAGACTCTGAGGCTTGGATACATCTTGAAGAGCTGAAACAATACCCAGGCCTTTGTGGCACCTCTCAAGTCATTCAAGCAGTAGGTCAAATAAAGAAAAAAAAGGCATCTGGAAATTCAGTCCTGGGAGGATGTGGGGGATTAAGAGTGGCACTGACAGTACCAGAGAACTTCTGACTTCAGGTGCATGTGAGTTCCTCATAATACTTCCAATTGAACTAAGATTCCTTTTTGCTTCTACAGTCCCTTGATTTGCTCTGTAGTTTATCAGATGCCTTCCTTCCACCCACTTCTCTCCTTTTTGATGGGACACTGCAAAGTGGAAACTCAGCACCTCAGAAACAATGTGTGCTGAAATACCTTATTTTTGGCACGCTCACAGCCAGTGAAGTCCTCGGTGCCAAGCTCAGTACCTGAGGAAACACTGCTGAGAAAACACACGTCAGAGAATCCATGGACAATACAGATAAAGGCAGATGTTTGACCACAGCTCTGTTTTCACCATTAGTAGACTATGGCTCATTCCCAGAACCAAAAATAACTTGGGTTATATCTGGACTTCAAACTCAGAAGTCCTTTAAACACAAACACCTGTCTCTTATACCCATACTCTGACAAACTGGCTGCTTATTTATAAAGATATGCAACCTCAGCAAACCCAGGTGCTCTTCTGCTCTCCCTGCACTTCCATCACAAAGCAGAGCTACACAACAGGAGTTTGATTTTAAGAGGAACAAGGACATCCTATTTTGAGTCTTTGCTTGCATTATTCAAGACTCTGTCTTTCCCAGGTCTCCACTCCTGCCAGTGTTTCTGCACCATCAGGACCAGAACAAATTTTGAGGAGCCACCTGGAGAACAACACTGGTGCATAAGTGTTAACTTAGCACCTACAGAGGCAGAAATGTGCTTCAGCATGAGCTGAGGGTGGCAATTAAAGGAGACCCAGTGAGCAGCAGCACTGTGACTGAACATCCCTTGCATAGTTTGGCCGTTGACCTTCTTCACCTAATTCCCAAAGGCACCTTTGCTTTAGACTGCCTGGCAATCACAGAACAAGAAATTCCAAAGGGAAAAGCCTGGCCAGACATGGGGCCTCGGCCTGACACTGGAGAAACAAAGCAGAGTTGTTACAGAAGGATTCTGATCCATTTCCAGCAAAAGGGGGATGAGCTGTGCCCCCACACCCCCACAGCAGACTCACCTGCTCATATGCACCACAGGAGAGCCAACATCGAACGATTTACAAACACTTCACTCAAAAAAAAAAAAAAAAAAAAAACAAAAAAAACCAAAAAAAACCACCTGACATAAAGCCTCCTGGCTGCGTGGCACTGTAAAGAGAAAACTGATCCCTCGGCTTCCCGGGTGAGCTGGGAAAGGTCGAAGATCCAAGGATGGTAGTGATGCACTAGCACAGGCTGCCCAGAGAAGCTGTGGATGCCCCATCCCTGGAAGTGTTCAGGGCCAGGCTGGACGGAGCACCCTGGTCTGGCGGAAGGGGGCCCATGGCACGGGGTTGGAACTGGATGATCTTTAAGGTCCCTTCCAACCCAGGCCATCCCGTGACGCCCGGGTAGCGCTCCAGCCACAGGGCGGGCTGGGGGGTGCGTCCAGCTCTGCGAAGGAGGAGAAGAAAGGCAGCAAAGCCAAGCAAGCCCCTTTCCCTCCGGCGCGCCAGGAAGCCCAGAGTTTTACTGACGCGCGAGGCGTCCCCAGAAGCCCGAATTCCCCGGTTTTCCGCCTCCCCTCGCCTCCCTCCCTCGCACCTTCCCCGCCGCTCCGAGCCCGGCCCCGTCCCCGCCCTCACGCCCCGGGCCCGCCGACGCATCGCGAGACCCCTCGCGCCGCGAGACTCGCGCGGGCGCCACGTGACGACCGCCGGCGGGGGCGCGCGCACGCGCGTGCGCCAGGGGGGCCGCTCCACCTGTCACGGGCCCGGGGGGGGCGGGACGGGCCGAACCAACCGGGGGGAACGGGAGGGGGAAGGAGGAACCTCCCCGCCGCCTCGGAGCCACGCCAGTCAGCACCGTCCGCGCTCCCTGAAGACGTTATTTGCTGCTTGTGCCAAGCGCGCCGCTCCCAAGGCAGGGTGGGGCAGAGCTCGACGCGCGTCTGGCCCCCGCCCCGCCGCTGGGGCATGGCCCCTTCCTTCAGCGGCGTCCACTCCCCCAGCCCGGAGCCCCCGTTACGCAACTCCACCCGAGTCCCTCCTCCTCCCCTCCCGCCCCGCCACTCCCGACACCTCCCCCCAGCCCCCGCCGCTCGCTTTTAAAGGCGCACCCCAACCTGCTGGCGCCCGCTAATCGCAAAGCTCGTCTGACCGACAGCGCGCCCGACCTATCAGAGGCCACGGATCCGCGAAACCCCGCCCCCTCCCTTAGCCACCAGCCAATGAGGCGAAGCCGGCGAAGGGAGAGGTTGGGGGGGGCGGGCGGCGCGCGCCAACCGCCCGGGAGAGCGCAGCGGCGGCGGAGCGCTGTGACTGACGTAAGTCAACAAAGGTCACGTGGAGCGCGGCGGCGGCGCTGATTGGCCCGGAGCGCGGCGCGCGCGGGGGCGGGGCGGCGCCGTGAGGGGAGGGGGTACTGGCGGCGGCGGCGCGCGCGGGGTCCGCGGGGTGACACAATCGCAACAACTTTGGGCAGCGGCGCCGCCGAAGTTTGTCCGGGCGGCAAAACACGGCCCGGCCTGCGCGGGCAGGGCGGTCCCCCCTTTCCCGTGGTCCCCGACACCCCAGCTACCTCTCCCCTGCCCGCCGCCGAGGGGCTGAGCGGCGATGTAAACACCGCTCCGCCGCCATCCGCAGCCGCCGCCTCCTCCTCCTCCCCCGACTCTCCAGCGCTGGGGCTCCCTCCCCCCTCCCCTCCCTCCCTCCCTCCTCCTCCGAGCAGCGGGGCTTCCCCCGCCCTCCCTCCCTCCCTCCCCTCCCCTCCCTCCCTCCCTCCCTCCCCTCCCTGCCGGCTGTTGTTGTTGTAATAAAAGTTGTGGTGTGTGTGTGTGTCGGGCACCCCGCCCCGCCCGGCGCTGGGGGTGGTTTGGGGCGCGCAGGAGGGGGTGCGATCCGCGAGTTAATTACGCTGCGTTTCCATGAAATCGTGCGGAGTGTCGCTCGCCGCCGCCGCCTCTGCTGCTCCTTTCGGGGATGAGGAAAAGAAAATGGCGGCGGGGAAAGCGAGCGGCCAGAGCGAGGAGGACTTCGCCAGCTTGACAGCCCAGGAGAGAGAAGCCCTCTCCGGCCTCGACAGGTACCCGCTCCCCACTCCGCCCCGGCCGCCTCCGTGTCCCGGCTCGGCCCGCGCCCCCTCCCCGTGTGTCCCCCCGCTCCCCTGCCCGCGGCTCCCCGTGTTGCCGCCCCGGGCCCCGCGCTCTGCCCTCGCCCGCCCGCCGCGCCGACTCTCCGCTAACGCCGGTGCCTCTCTCTCTCTCTCTCTCTCTCTCCTCCCTCCCGCCCTGCTCCCTCCTCGCAGCCGGCTCTTCGGATTTCTGAGGCTTCATGAAGATGGCGCCAGAACGAAGGCCTTGCTGTTAAAGGTAAGCGCGAGGGTGGATGTGGAGCGGGATGGCGCGGGGAGGGGGGGTGGCGGTGTTGGAGGGGTGAAAGCGGGGGATGGGGAGCGCGGCGGCCCGCCGCCCTTCCCCGGGACCCCGGGCCCGCACGGTGAGTGTGTGCGGGGGTGTGCGGGGGCACCGACACCTCCGCGGGGTCCCCGCGCGTCGCTGCCGCCTTTGCCCCCTTTCCCCATCCCCCACCCTGAGCGGGACGAAGGGGGAGCGCGGCCATGCGGGTGTTCCTCGTCCAGCCCCGGGACGGGAAAGTGTTGGAGCCCCGGGGCCCGGAGCGGACGGGCCAGGGGAGGGGCGCGGGGGCGGGGGAGGCGGAGGACGAGGAGGAGGAGGCGGCAGCGGGGGGAGAGGAGGGAGGCAGGGCGCGCTCGGCGCTGCTGACGTTGCCGCTGCCCGGACCCTCCCTCGTGATTTTCGCCCCGGGAGCGGGGCCGGGGCCGGAGCCCGCAGGGGAGCGCGGGGTCCGGGCGGGGCGGGCGCGGCGCTGAGCGGCCCCCGGAGCCCTCCGGAGTGACTTGTTTACTCGCCGGGCCCCGCTGCCTCCGCCCGGCCCCGGCCGAGCCCCGTGTGCCGCCCGCCGGCCCGGCCTGACAGCGAGCGGGGCGTCCCGCCCGGCCCGGTGTGTCCTGCGAGAGGTGTTTGCCTCCGCGGAAAGTTGTTGGCCCTGTCATTTAGTTAAGTAATGGCTGCTCCTGTCGGCCCCAAGATGGCCGGACAGGGAGGAGAAAGGGAAGGGGGGGGAGGTAAACACGAAACAAACACCGGGGGAGCGAGTGTGGGGGGAGCGCGGAGCCCCCGGGGAGGGCCGAGGGAAACTCTCCTGCGCATCCCAAGTTCTTTCTGGGCGCTTTTCCTGCTGCTCCGCGGCGCCGGTGCCCTCCTTATCAACCTGTAGCACGTTCTGCTGCCCATCCGTGAGCTGCTGACAAAGGCTGTGCGGGCCGAGTGTCTGCCAGCTGTGCTCAAAACACCGAACGCCGGGGTAACCTTTGGGTAACAGGATAAGTGGGACTGTTTTTGAAATGCCACACGGCTGAAGCGAAGGGGACGGTGCTCCTCTGGTTCCTGCTTTCCTGGCTTGTTCCTGTCAGTAGCCTGGCGTTTGACACTGCTCATCCCATTGTTGTGCCCGGGCTGTGTCGTTGGAGGATTATTTCTTCTTTTTTTTCGTGTTGCTGGTTTTGGTTGATCTGAAGGTCTTGCTCTGAACCGTGTTGAATTGGTTACCCCAAGCCCTTCCTTGTGTTTGGGTGTTTATTTCTGGCAGGATTGGAAAAGCTCAATGTCAGGACGTGGAGGGGGAAGGGATGGAAGGAAAAGCAAGTACACTTTTTCTTTGTGCTTGTATTTAAAAAAAATCTCGTGGTTTCCTTTCGATTTTCGGAGTTATTTATAAAAGCACTCTTTCCCATAAATCAAAAAGGTAGGGGAGTGACATGTCAGACCAGTTAAATAATGTACGTTAACTGTTGATGGACCAGAATTCGTGTCTGCTCCGTGAATGCTGCTGAGGCTGTCAGAAATATTAGACAGAATTCCGTATGGGATAGAGCTTAAGGATGCCAGATAGCAAATAAAAGCATCGTATGTAATTAGATCATCTGTCACATAGTGTCCCTGGGTTAAGTTTTATTTTGTGTACTGTAAAATCAAGTAATGCAGGCAGCAATTCAGCGTATTAGTTGAGTTCTGAGTCCTTTCTTACATACAGTGCATTAATGCATTTTTTTTTATGCTAGGCAATTGTAGTTTAGTATGTGCAGTCCGTTTAAGTTGTGGGGCATTTTGACAGTTTTGAAACATATTTCTAGAAATACCACTGTATGTTTTGTGCTGTATTAATGTATGGATCCATGCAGCAAATACTGAAAGGAAAAAAAAAACCCCAGCAAGTAAATATTTTGCTGTTTCGCCTCAGTTTTCAGACGGCGTTTTGGGCATTTATGAATGGCACAGGAACTCACGAAGCTTGTTCTTCGTAAAACTTGTCTCTGAGAAAGGTGGATTGTTGAGGAAGTAGGAGGATTAAACCGTTACTGTTCAGTGCAGAGATGTTCGACAGGGATTTCGTGGCTTGAATCAGTTTCGATTTTGTTTATTCTTTTTACTTCCACGGACTGTGCATGTGTTTCTGCTCCCGTTATCGATAAGTAAGAAGTTGTTATTTTTAAGGTGTTTTTCTGCTTGGTTCTTTTTCTCTGTGTGTGAGGCTTCATGCAGTTTATGCCATACAGGGAGGTTTGGGGTAATTAATCTAGCAGACCACTTTAATTCCGTGTAGCAGTTATTTTTATTGTAGAAACTGTGGCTGTATATACGTGCAGTTTATTAATAGGTTTTACAGCGATAGCAACAAAATCTTCCCTTTTGTGCATGGAGCAACAACAGCTAACAAAGACCCTAGACTCCATAATTATGAAACCCTGACTGACTGATTTAAGAATCTACAGCACATCACAGTGTAAGATTTATGTGCAAGTGTAGCAGGTAAGGAAAACCATTGAGTCATGTTTCCAGAGGAATCCTTCACAAGGCAGAAATTTACCCTCGGTGTGAGAGCAGCACCCCTGCCACTGAACCTTTTCAAAAGGCTGCCAGGCTGGAGCAGTGACTCCTCTGTGAGGCCTGGAGTGTTCCCTGGTTACCTGTGCTGAAGGTGACATGGGCAGAGTACCTGTCTGGGGAGAACTGGAGGGAGATCCTGCGTTATAAGTGTTTGGGGAACAGCTCTGTTACCTGCCTGGATGCTTATGCAGCAGGAGGAGTCTTGTGGGCTTAAATTTGGTGCCTCAAGGAGGAACTCCTTGTTTTTGGTGGGGTTCACTGAGGCGTGTGTTGGCTCAAGACACTTGGAGGAGATTTCTTGAGGCCTTTGCAGTGGAACTCTGGTTTAGTGAAGCCACACCCTGACAGAATTTGGTAAGGAGAAAACTGGGATGTCTTTCAGGGATGGAGGAAGTTTCATGTCCGGAGCTTTAACGTGGTTGTGAGTTTTATTCATACTGCAGGTCTGGGCTGCAGCCTTCCCTTTCTGGTAGTTTTGCTTTGTAGGATGTGTGGCTGTAGTATTGTGAACTAAGTTAAGTCCTGCTGCTGGGTGCAGCAAATCAGAAGAGCATATAAGACATCAGATCTGTACAGTTTTATGAATTATTGAAGGTATAGACTAAAGGTCAGGAATATTGTATTGTTGCTCCATGTATTGGATGTGTGATAAGCCAGGAGAAATCCAACTTTCCCGTAATGATGTTCACACTGTCAGTGTGTGTGTGTGACAGAGGAATGGAGTTTTCTGCTGCCAAAAATTTGGTGTTTATTTTGCAAGAAAGGAGCTTGAAAATCATAGTTTGCAGCTAGTGTGGTTTAGAGGGAGTGGAGGTGGAAATTGAGAGAGATGGCATCTCACACTGGTTGAAATGCTGGAAATCCAACGTAGCCAGTCTTGTGTGCGAGAAAGTGCTCACTGTTATGCCTCTGTAGTTGACAATAACATTAACGTGAAGGAGGAAGAAAAAACCCCAAAACAAAAGCCCTGCTGCTATCTTGATGTCTCTTTCTCCCAGGAAGACGTTCTGGCAGGAGGTGAAGCTTAAAGATTACTTGAGCGGGGGGGAAGGGGGAAGGGGAGGACATCCATTGTACTGGAAGTGAATTGCGAAGCGTTTCCTTTTTCCTTCTTTCTTCCTTCTTTTTGTTTTCTTTTTTTTTTTAATGATAGTTCCAGTGTTTAGCCCAAGTTGACTTTATTGCAGTGACAAACCGTCGTTTCATAAGCTGTAATTGGCATCCATACAGATGTAGGTTGATGTAGCTGGTCTGATGTATTGGGTATAAGATGCTTGTTAATTCCTATTCATTGAGTTTAATCAGTTTGTCATATCCTGTGGACAAAATCTGAAGCATGTTTCCATTTAGAAGTATTGATGTTGAAGTCGATGTGAAGAGAGATGAAGTAGTTCCACACAATATGCCACGTTTTAGTCTGTGTTACCTCTCGTGGTTTTGCAGCCCTTTTGTTTTCCAGCTGATTTTAAAAATGGTATTTCCTTTGTGTAAAGGCCACACGTGCTGACAAAATTAACAACGTGCTTATCTGTACCTCTATTAAGCTTACAAAGTAAGTGCACAGTGACAGTGTTCTCTCATTTTTCTTATAATTCTCGGTGTTGCTTGTTTAAAAATAGTTTTGGACAGTGCGAGTTAGTATATGTTGACTTTGTCCCTTCAGTGTTGGCATTAATGTTAATTTTCTACTGATCTATAATTAAATATTCTCACCGTTATTTATAACAGGCTGCTTGAAAAATAATTATGCAGAAAAACATTTTAGCAGGTTGGTCTCGGTGTAGTGAAGTTATTTTTCTTAATGACTTTGGAAATATTTCAGCTTAATTTCTTTTCATCAAAACAAAGAAATATTGCTTGAAAAAGAGTTATAGTGTTTGCCTTATATAATGGCAGTGCTGGGAATTGGAAAACTGGGAATTGGTACCAAGAGACGTTTGGAAAGTATTCCAGGAAGTGGGCAGCCTCTCCAATTTCTGTAAATTTATATCAGAGTTGTTCCTTTATGTGTTTTTAATACATTATGCATTTCTAATTATTTGTTTATTATCTGCAGTGCTGTCTGCCCTGTGGAACAAGTTGAAGTTGGTTAAAATTTTGTAAATTGCATTGTGGGTGGAACTGGTTTTTTTGGCCTTTCTTGAAGGTGTCACTTTTTTAGTGTTTTTATTGGGTAATTGTAACTGAGCCATAGATTTTTTTTTTTTTAAGATCAGCATTTATTTGTGTGCAGTTTGGGCTTTGTGTTAATAGGATCAGGCTTTTTAGGATCCAGTTAAGCTGTAGTGGGTGACATGTTCTATAGTTCATGGTTGTACCATGTTTATACTTAGAAATTACAGTTGCAGTGTATGTAATATTTATACATCCTGATACTTAACGGCTTGGTTATGGCTTTGCAT